GAATAGAAGAGAGTTTTCCTCGGTTTTAGACCAAACGAAAAAAGTGGCAGCAAAAACTTGAGGCTTCAACTTAAGGACCTACACTGCGGTCTTAAAAAGAGTTTTAGCTTCTTGAAATTCGATAAAAGCTTAGATTCCTTTCGTTTTTATGTGTTTTTTTCAAACTGCATTTCTAGCCTTGGAATTCATATGAATGGCTCCTACAAATATGAAACTTGTTGGATCCAAGAGAAAATATAGCAAAGGTAAGAAGAAATACTAAAAAAAGTATTTTGGTTTGCAATTCAAACTCTATCTCACAAGTACTAACAACACTATATATTCAAACTCTGTTTTAGTGAATTAGACTGAAAACTCACCGACTCTTAGATAGGGAAAGTAACCCTGTTGCGATCTAAAAAAATTTCGTTTGACTATTAATAGAACAAGAGCATCTTAAATGATTCTACCCATGTGACAAACAGATAAAAAACTTTCTGTTTCAGAAAGTTACTATTTACAGAGGAGTTCTATTTATATTGCATTGCAAAGGACAACTTTGAGAGTGGAACAGAATTGTGTCTAATTAGTCAAAGGAAACCATATCCAATCTTGAAGTATTGTCATTCTACAACAATCACTTGACCGATAACTTAGGAACTACAACGTCTTTCAGTCAAGAGTCATGTTGGGTAAAGGTTCTTCAATATGGAGTGGCTTTCAGTTGGAGATTGCTGAAGCTTTCAAGTTGGTACACTACTCGACCTTGACTCAAGTACACAAGGCTTCTTCTTTAGCAAAATTATTTTTTTGGCTCAATCTTTTACTCTTTTTTCAGCATCGATGTGCAGAAAATGAACGGTTATAGTTACTATATTTGAAGCCTTAATCTTAATTGATGTCCTTATATAAGACATATTCACAACTTGGTAAAAGTCGAACAAAGGATAGACAACTTGTGTAGCTATTACATCCATAACAGCTTGTATTTAATGATAAGTCAGTATGACAATCTACATAATACACTTCTCCAAATTCCATTAGATATTTTTGTATTTATAAACTCTGCTACGACCGGTTACAAACTAACAGACTTCCCATTCATTGCAATTCTCTGTTTTCCACTGTATTTCGTCTGTAACTTACAAAAAGCTTGTATCTTATTAGACATGTATATAGGAGTTTACTTATAGGATGGTGTGGAAGATAGTAGAAAAACTCTCTTACAGTATACAAGCCATAGAAAGAGTACCAATCAATCTAATTCACCACAAAAACTCATAGAAACCTATTTCTTGTCTATAGTAAAAGAAAGTTTCTAGTTATGACAAGCAAGAAAATATTCCGGCTTTCTCTCTATTGTCATTGTGAGTCTAGAAGTGTCAAAGAGATCAGTTCTACCAATCACCAAATAAACCAATCGCTCGAACAATAAAACATACACTCTCTTCCAACTCCTTTCTCCTCCTCCAAGTGTTTTGTTCTTAGCTTCTTTGAAAGTTTTTCGGTCATTGACTTATTCATTAGTTGTGAATTGATTTCGGATTGGCGTCGGCGTGTAAAATGAGTTTGAATGAACCGTTGATAGATAGAAAAGAAGATGTTTATTCTATTCTTCGAGCTTATTACGACCAGTTTTCTTCAGCTGGGGGAAAATTAGATCTTTTACGTCCTGCAGCTTGCTTTTCCCCTCAGGTCTTTGGAGCTGGGAAGAGTTGTGTTGGTGAAAATTTTTTAAAGTTTTTAAAAAAATTCGCCGACGAAGAAGAAGAGCAGACGAAGACAGAGGTTTTCAACAAGAGCTCGTCGGGAAAAGTTGATTTGAAGATTTTTTCTTGGAAACACTTTGCGGAAAACACTTTGTCAGTTTGCTTTCAATTAGAAGAGAGCTTTTCTCGTGCTCCTTTTCCAAGGTTTCTAGAGGCTTTGATGTATAATATC